GTGATCTGAAATAGTAAAGGACACATAAACGTCGATGTTTTCGGTTTAGGAGATTTTAACCTATTTGTTTTTGATCAGACACCCTCAAACTTCACAAACACATTTGTCTCGTTGAGTAAAATATTTATCTTTTAAAGTTGACTACTTTGAATAAATTGCGCATGCGCATTTTACACTTCCTGGTTTTTCGACAATAAATTATAATTCGCTTGGTTTTTAATTAAGCTGACTCAAAATTTCAAATAACATTGTTCTTAAACTMTTTTARCACTGTTCTCAGTTTGATTGATATTGCTTGAATATCAATGACATTTGCACGAATTCGTATTTTCCTGAATATCTCAGCCGGTCGCTAGGTCAGGAATACTTTTTTCTRGTATTTTCCACGGATGTATCAATAGATGCACATGTATTTKTCTTTTTTATCATAATTTAGCTATAAGCAAATCTTTACGATCATACTAACTKACACAAAAACGTTTTAATGTATTATTAATTCTTTTTTAGCAGATCAGCAATTTGCGACCACCAAAAATAAATTTAATCATCTGTCCGATTTCATGACTGGATCAGAGCTGTCCTTATAGATTTAGTATACTTACACTTCATCAGGATTGCGCCATCAAACTTCACAATTAATTTACKCGTCGTAGTGAAACGTTAAGCGCAGTTCAGACTAACTTTTTGAACCAATCGTGCATGCGCAATTTACACTTTTTGATATTCGACAAGAGTATTACTTGCTGGATTCTTAGTCAAACATTTGGAGCAACTATGTTCCTAGTTCATTTAATTAATATCATATTCTGTTTGAAGGCCTTCGGTGTTTTGAGTTACGGCTTTCACAGTCGTTTGAAGTTGACAAATGTGCGGATTATTTTATTGTTCTTTTATTAAATAAAAACAACTTTAGCCGAGCCGGCATGACAAAGTAGACGCGCTTCTTCATTATCGAAAGTTTAACCTCAGTTGACCCTACCGTCAAATGTCACAAAAGAGAATAAATTCTAATGTCATTTTTTTACTTTCTTCTTCGCTTATTTATGTGAGTGGAGAATATTGGTATGTCAGTAAGACTTAAAAAATTCGGTCCCCTCCCCCCTTGTCCTTTGCTTTTTGTAACTTGCGATTAGGTAAGAGCCATATTATTTGCTCTCTCATATTTCAGCTTTAATACCTTTGTCATTGGGCAAACCTAAAAACCATCTACAAGGGATTATTGATAAAACCAAAGGGAAGGATGTGGTACGGGAAAATATGCCCAAATGGCAAGCTTATTTTGTGAAATGAACATTTTTCAGCCTAACGAYTTACCCTCGTGAATAGCTCCTCTTGGCAAACACATCATTGATTGGAGGGGGAGGGAGCGGGATAGACCGTTCATTGCTAAGTAGACGTGAGATAGATAAACGCAATTGTTATAGTATTAGTTGAAGGAGTATAGAACTGAATGGTTGCCGTGACAATAAAAGAACGTTGCTGCATCAATTAGACTTTTTTTCGTGACACATTATAAATGTTTGAATTTGTAAGTATTTATGTTTCATAAGTCAATAAGTCGTCCGTGTTGTAAACTATGCTTATTAGCATTGTAAGTATTTTTGTGGA